CCAACTTAACTTTTCCTTGTGGCTCAGAGAATGAAAAGTTCACATCACTCTCTCCTTTTTCAACTACTCTTCATGATACTTCATCTTTACCATTCTCACAATCTCCTCCTGCTCCTACAAGTGTCCTCTTCCTCTTGTTAGATCTAGATACAGAACCTGCCTTCCCTTGCCTTTACCTCTACTCACACCAGAAAGGCCTGCCACTTTCACTAGATCTACCCAAGTCAGATTTCTCACTTTCAAAATCACCATCAAGATCACTGGGAATAAAGTAATTTTCCTGGCTCAGTAGTTCCTCAAATAACTTTCTAGCTTGCTCAGAAGTAAAGCAACATGGCCTACCAGAAGTAGTGGGCATGGTCATTTTCTTTGTTTCAAAATAGGGGTTCAAAACACTCACGTAAACTCACTAAAAACACGTCTTTCTTCTATCAACTTGGTGCTCATATTAAAGATATTTCATTAACAGAAGTAGTTACAGTTTTATAATGAATATATATCGTAAACAAAAACAAGACCTACAAGCTGATATATCAGCAACTCATCCAAGTAGAAAAATGAATGTGTTGATACATTGGCTGCTCATCCAAGTAGGAAAATGAGTGCACCAATATATTGGCTACTCAGAGACAAAGAGTTAACTGCATCTACTACATCTGAAGTCAACCTGTTCCCAAGGCCAACTACCCTGTTAGAAAAATAAAACTGTCTTAACTGAAGACAACTTCTTCCCTGCCAAAATTTATATTTGTGTCTCCCCATCTCACCATTAAAAACAAAAAGAGATAATGCATCAAAACTATCAATTCCTTTAACAATCTTAAACTCCTTAATCAGATCCCCCTCTAATTCTTCTTTTTTATAAAGAGAATACAAGTTTAAAGACATTGACTATTCTCATATGACAACCTTTCCACCAAATGTATCATACTAGTAGCACTCCCCGGAACACTTTCCAATAATTTAATGTCCTTTCTAAGAAAATGATCTCAAGCCTGAACATAGTACTCTAAATATGGCATAACCAATGACTTATACTATGGCATTATAACCTCTATATATGTGTATTCAGTATTTATGTAGACACAACCTAAAAATCTCTAGCAACAGTACATTGCATGGATGGTTTAAGAAACTGATGAACTAAAACACCAAGTACTTTCTCTTAAAATTACTCTCATCAAAAGCTCTACTCCCATCCTAACATTTTATTGTTCATTTTTAAATTTTCAGCCAAACTATTTTCATATACTTTTTGATTTCCTAATTTCCCATCTGACAAGCTCTCTTGATCTTCTATAATCCTCCAAATCTCCCATCATTGCAGTCAATTAAAATTTCTTATATTTATAATGCTTTTCTTTTATTTTGTCCTTTATACCTTTTGTGAGCTAACCCAATTTTTTACATGCAGCTTCCCTCTTTTGTCTATAAGGAACATTCCTATCTTGAATATTTAGAATAGTAAGAATTTAATTTTTAACTTTTTATCAGTATCTCCAACTAATTCAGTTGCCCAATCCACAGCAGATAATTCTTGTTCCATCTCTTCAAAATTTGCTTTTTTTCAAATTTCGAACCAAAATCTTGTTATTCTTTATTTCCATCAAATCTAATTGATCAATGATCACTTTCACCCACATCTCTACCCTATCAACTATTTCTTTATTAGAAAGTTAATAATAAGTCTAAAATATAACATTGTTCCTATTAGGTTCCCTAACCAATTGTTGAAGAAAAACATCTTGAATAGTTTCTAATAACCAGTCTCCCTGATGGTTTGACTGTGACATTTCCCAATCCATATGTCTAAAAATTAAAATTCCCCATTATTCTAACCTCATTAACAGTTGAATTATTTATCTCACTGTAGAGTTTCTCACTAATTTCGTGTCTGTAACAAATTCCAGTTAAATCATTCTCTTCTTATAACCACTAACAGAAATCTAACTAGATCCAACTTCATTGCCATTAGCCTTGATAACCTCAATATGAACCAACCGTATCTCACATTTTACATATAAAGCCACTCCTACCCATTTTTAGTGCTCTGTCCCTATTAAACAATGTATAACCTTGTATTTCAAAGAAATTTCTGTCATCAAAATTGTCTACATTTTGCCAAATTTCAGTTATTCACATTATATCAAAATCCTCTGTTCTGATCAGTACTCTAAGTCATCTATTTCATTTTTTATACTTCTAGCATTACAATAATAACAGTTTAGCCTACCATTAAAATTACTTTTGCACTTTGTTTCTACACTAAAAGTTTCTTTAAATATTAATTTTTCTTCATTTTTCTGGTCCTCACCACTGTCTAGTCCTAGTTTAAAGTTTCCTTATAGTTGAGTTAATAGCCCTTGCAAATGGGCCAGCCCCTACCATACTTAACTGCAAACCATCCATTCCAAAACTGGTCCTGCAAATCAAAACAGCCAACTTGCTTATCCTTACATATTAACGTAAGCCTAACATTCAGCCCCTGTGGTCTACTTATAATTCCATCCCCGTAGTTTAAGTCTTGGCAGTATCCCTAAAAGAATAAATTATTTTAGCCTTTTCTTGGAATGCCTTTATTATTGCATTGTAATTAAAGATAAGCTATTCTGAGATATCCTTCCCTATATCATTAGCCCCTATGTGTACTACAAAGACTGCATCACTTCTTGCATTTGTTTAGTGCAGCACTTGCTCTGGTGGCTACATCCTCCACCCCTGCTCTTGGAGAGCATAATCTAATTATTTTCTCCTTATTTACCCCACAAACTATCCTATCCATGTGCTATATTAAAAAACCTCCTACAACAATAACCATGTTTTTCATTCCCATCCCTATCTGTCTCTTTTGTTATCCTTCCTTCCTTAAGTTCATCATCTGCACAAATAAAGGCTGAAATCTGTTAGTTAGTAGAAACATATCATTAAAATTAAAATCCACTACTTAAGTTCCTCGTTAAATCCTCTTGACATATCCTGCAGTTTACCCTTCTATTTCTTCATAGTCTCTACCCTATTTACAATAGCCTTCAATTTCTCCTCCAACCTACAAACTCTACATACAACTTGTACAACTTCACAAGTAGATTCTTTAAATGTGCATGCAGGCCCTGAATTCCCAAATAAAACCCAATCCTTGCACCTATTGCACTTAACAAACTGTGAGCACTTAACACTTACACTACTTTAACCATTGCTGCCTGGTAATAAATAACACAGGCCTGCAATGGTTTTATTTTCTTGAAAGTTTTACATGTTCTACAGTAATTCCTGTACACTGAATACAAAAATGATATCCATTTTTCTCTATAACAAAGAGATTTTTTACAAAGTGTCATATGTACTTTTATATAAGTGAATCATTTTCTTTGAAATCAGGTCACATTTTGTTATGCTTAAAATGTTGACAAGCACTGGTTATAGATTTCTTTAGACCAATCGCAATGTGAGAGTTTTATCGATCGATTTTGAACCCATGAGAAATACACCGCTAGTATATAAATGGTTAGTAGGCCGCATGATGTCATTTCTGGATAGTATTTGTTTGTGCGTGCACTTTGACATTATTTTTTTCTTTTCAATATTATTTATTTGTCACTATGGCAACAAGAGGTTGTGTAAATGACCCAAACAAATTCTGTTATATTTGTGGTAAATTTTCTATTCTTATGTGTTACAAAAAAATGGATATTATTTTCGAAATCTGCGTAGCTGAATTATTGAAAATCTGTTATCAAAACCAAAACAACTTTTATGAAATTTAAATTCACAGGCATGTGTAATCAAAACTAAATACAAGCAGCCTACTGATAACAGTTAAGCATGTTAGAGTTAAATATATTTTGTTATTTTGCCCCTTATCTTCTCAATAAAATAATAAGTACATACTTTTAAAAGAAACTATACAGTTAAGTTCTGATTTGATCTTTAAACCAACTCTGATGATTTCACAACTTATAAATCTGTATGTTCAATCTGTAACACCCTATAAAATCTTTAAGGCATTATTCACCTTTAGAAGTACATGGCAGTAAATCAGTATATCAGGCTCAAAAATAAATTTCAGACTTAATTTAAAAGGGGGGAAGAAAAAATGTTTAGAAAATTAGATTTATGCATTATTATGTAAATGAAAATTCATTAGGTGGATGAGAGAAATCCCCTTTCACTGTTGTAAAATATGAGTATCTCTACTTATACTGATAAAGTCTACTTTTAATGAAGATAATTTTTTGTCAATAGCTTTTAGTGACAGGAATAACAAAATGAATAATGTGAGGTAAAATATGTACATGTAAGATCATATGAAGTACATAAAAAAGCCCATTAAATTATATTTATATATAGATCTCTACTTTTCAATATTGTACTTGCTGTACAAAATTAGAACTTTATTAAAATAACATCATTTGTATGTTAATGTTTATTACGAAGTTCTTAATTAACATTAACTTCTGATAAAAGCAAGCTACCCACATAGATTAGAACTAAAAATAAATCCAGTAATGGGAGTGGCTACTTGAATATACTATCTTATTTATAATGATTAGAAAGCATTATTTCATTAGTTCACTCCTGTTGCTGTTTACAATATTTTCAGCCATAAACCAATAATATCTCACAAGGTAGATTCAAATGAACTTAGATTATAGAAGAAATTCTTTTATAAAATTTTATATCTTTGGTGAAAAGTAATAAAACAGAAATTTATATTTATAAATGCAAAAAGGGATGTGCAAAATAATATAAATACAACATAAAATTAGTTCACAAAAACATTGTTAGGCTGATTAGAAATTTTGCTAAACCAATACTAATTTAGTAATTCTATTACAAAACTACTTTTAGCCTTTTTTCACATTATGCACATTTTGATGGTGATAACTCCTTACCAAAGCCCAAATGGCAACCCTGTAAAAAACATTGTATCTGCACAACAATAAGACAACTGAGAATACATACTAATCTGTTGTTAGCTGCTATTAAAACAAACTACTTACTTGTGAATGCTCATGTAAGCCGTAGTGCTAACACAACCACGAGAAAGAGCTTCAAAAATGATAGAAGAGTCAAGTCTTGTAAGTCCTGTACCACCATATTTTTCTGAAACATATATAGCCCCAAATCCCAGTTGAGCTGCTTTTTGCATAGTTTCTTTAGCAAAATATTCCTACATCCAAAGAAAAGTATACATTTTCAAGCAAAGATAAGCTGTCTCCTATTCTGGCTAAATATAGTAAGTGTTACAAACTACCTCACAACAGTGTTCAATCATACTTATGTTATATAACTTAAGCTTCTATAATAAAATATGAACATTTATTTAGTGTTTTTTATTGTACTTTCAAAAAAAATTAAATTTTTGGTGGACTGTTAAGAAGCACTGTATTTTATTATGAATGTGTGACTTATAATTACATTCACAGGAAAATAAAAACTTTTTATTATGATTATCCATTAACTACAGGGCCTTTATTGGTATTTTTTTAACCTTTTTTACTTTAATTATAATCCTGGGAGGCAATATCAGCCACCTAGTGATGTAATGACCTATGTAATGATATAGGGGCCCCTGAAAGAAAAATAATACATATACTCCTCAGAAGTGATGGGGTGACTGAAGAATGGTGACCAGAAGGTGTAGAGAAAAAGATGAATGTGTGAAGAGAGTTTACATGCTCACTAGGAGGAGTTCATCCAAAGGCTGTCCAAAAAGAAATGTAAGAAATAAAAAAAGGGGTGAACTGAAAGCGAAGAAAAGGGAAACAGTCTGTGAGCATCCATATCCTGAGACAAACATGTCAACAGACCCATCCCATAAGAGAAGAAGGAAAGAAGTCCATGAAAAAAGTGGGGACCCAGAATAGGGACAGACAAAGGTGGGAATCCTCCAAGGGAGAGGTTCATGATAAGGCATACTGAACAGCCCAATAGGACACAAGAGTTGAGCTAGGTGCAAATGGTCCAACTGGTAAGATAGAAGAAAGGGAGATAGGAGAAAAGTATGATGTACCTCCTGAATGGTTGAAGTCCAATGAAGAAATTATCAGTCTAGGGAGAGGTAGAGATAAGTGTGGTGGAAGAGGATGTAAAAAGCATACAAAGGAAAGATATCAGAACAGTAGTAAATGTATAAGTAGAAGAAAACAAGTAAGGAGATAAAGACAGTATAAAAATCATGAAGGTCAATAGCTCGAATGTTGCAGCATGCATGAAATTGTGCTAAACATCTTTAAGGTCTGAGATGGGCAAAGGGATTGGAGAAGGAGGACCAAGGAGAAGAACAGATCATAACAGAATAAAGAAGATAGGAGAAGAATCATCCCTTGGTACCAGCAATGGCTGAGACAGAGAATCCATTGAGAAATAGGCATATGATCATGAGAAAGAAGCTATTACATAAATGAAACAGTATAAAACCTAATCTCAAGCAAGGAGAAAAGAAAAGATTAACCCAAGAATGGTGGATTAGAATGTGAGAAAATGAAAAATAATAAAGAACACAGGTAAATGAGATGGAAAGGAACAAACCTAACAAGGAAATCAAAAGAGATTGAAAAGTGAAGGTCATTTCACAAATGGCAAATAAGTTGAATACTGTAGTCTAAGTTGTAATCCAAAACACACTGAACAATGGCTACAATGACCCTGACAGCTAATGAGCTTCCAAAGTCACAGCAGAAATAAGGTCTAAGTGTGAATAATGTCCCACACTCGGGACTAAGTATAAATCACCACCACTGAGAATTCATGATAGAAAGAATTACATCTTTTCAAACAAATGCTACAGATATCAAAAAGTAGAGTTTTGTTAACAATACTATTCTCAATAGATTGAACACAGATGAGACATTCAAACATGTCTGTGCTCTACAGTGTTGAGGAAAGAAATGAAGATTCACAAGTGAAAACACATAGGGTGAAATAGTGTGCATGGAGGTGTGTCGTCCTTCTATTGGTGGTGGGCTATGTCTCATGATACCATCATGTGGTAGCACAACTCATGTAAAATCATGTGAAATTAGGTGGGATTGTCTCAAGGTTAGTAGCATAAAAATCTCATCTCTGGCAGATGTGCAAGGAGATAGCTAATCTGTATGCAGAGGTTAGTTATCCTCTCAGAAATAAAGCATTATACATCTACGCTTTTCCTATATTAGTGGGTATATGTATAATTGAAATATGATTATTAATGTTCCCATGCATGCCGTATTTTCCATTTTACTCAGCAAAAAACCTAACAGCTGACAACAGACAAAGAATATAGCAAAATAGAATTCATGTTTCAGTGTTTCACATCTTACAAATCAGACTTTTATAAACATACATCTTCATTTTACTAACTTTATAGACAAAAACTCTGAGTCTGTATACAGTACTTTTGTGCTTTGTCAAAAAAATAACATAAGAACATTACAGATTTAAGCTTACAGAAATTATTCAAACAATTAGGTCATAAGAGTATTTTATTTTCCACAGTTCATTGCTAAACAAAAGCAAACAGCAAATTCTTAAAAGTTATATTGTACTTTTTGTATGTGCTTTGTGGGATTGTGAGGAGACAAGCAGATATTTTAAGCAGGATAAGTGGATTTTTTCAACATTTTGTCCTTTGGAAAATAAGTTTTTTCCCATGATTCCACAGCCCTGCTGAAGCCTAATGAAATATTGAGCAATAATTACATGTATATTATTGATTGATAGTTGTTTTGGCATATCGAAAATGTAATAACATAACATTTTGTAACAATGTGGGTCCTATTGGTCCATCTTGGCTGTTCCATCTTCTAAACTAAACTAAAACTGTTAAAAAATAAATTAAAAAAAAATCTTAAAGCCTGCCCTTACCATTCATTACTTATCAAGCTTTCTCTTGAACTCACTTAAATTTACTACTTTCACAACGTCCGAAGGTAACCCATTCCAAAAACCAACGTTTCACCCTGTTAGAAAAATCAACTGTCTTAGCTGAAGATGACACCTACCCTGCCAATATTTATATTTGTGTCCCCTAGTC